TTAACTAGAAATGAGCAAAACTAATATATTTAGATGAAGCAAACTACAAAAGATGAGTTCTTTTCACCTAAGTGACACGAATGAAAGCTGTTTAACTCCACAGTGTGAGCTCAGTTTACAGATTGTGATCCCACATGTGGCTGTAATCTTTGTTTGTCTTCATTAATGACTTAAGGAATGTCTTTCAAGGACTTTAAATACACATTTGGGGAATTCCACCTTCTAAATTTGAGCCAACAGATGATAAGGGTGATGCAGAAACCCCGTTTAGTGGGAAGAAGCTGGTCTGAATAAATCTAAAATCCCATTATTAAGGATATTTAGGACTTGAGGCTGAGCTCTTTCTGAAGCTTCCACCTGGACAAACATCTGCAGGTAAACACTGAGCTGCTTGTAGCTCAGAGGAAACTAGTTTCTTCCTTCACCTCTGGTATTATGCAACTTCACAGCTGCCGGTGAAACTCGGTTTACCAGCAGAGAGAGATTCCCTCAAACACAAACCGATAAGAAGCAGGACAGAGAAGCAAACACAGCAGATAATAATAAAACAGCTCAGTCAGAATATGGTGTTAAAGAAGCAGCAGAGCGGCTCCAGGTGAGTTTACCTGCGCCAAAAGGTGCGTCAGTGGGCGGAAAGTTGCGAAATCCTGTGAGCTGAGTCGATCACCATGTTTCCTGCAGCATCGCGGCTCCGCAGCTGTGGACGGACGGACGGAGGTGACAGCAGGCCGCCGGAGCGCCGAGTGGAGCCGCGCACGGAGCGTCTCCTCTGGGAGGCTGAGGCGCGGTGACGCGGGGGGGCGGGAGCGGCTCCTCCGCCCTCCTCAGCCCGCCTCAGCCCGCCCAGTTCCGCCCGAGCTCCACACAAACTGGTCCGGACAGTGGAGCAAAACGCTTTTCTTTTCTTTTTACAGGAATGTGATTCATTTACTACACCGTGAATCATTTGGAGTTCATTCAGCTCAGAAACACAAGATGCGCTTTGTTCACTTGTTCTTCCTTCTCTGAGCTGGAAAGGTGCAAAACTAGTTAATTTAACTAAAGTTGACAAAAGTTCAGTAAATTTAAATATTAAGCTGAACAAACAGTTACACACACGTTTGCTTCTCTTTACACTGTCTAAGTTTAAAAGTTTCTTCTTGAATTAACTCCAATTAAAGACACACAGCAGGTTTCCACCATGTTGGTTTAAAAAAAAAACAGCATCCTGGGAAGTTTCTTAAAAACTTAATTTCATGAGCTGCATCAATTCTCATCTGTTCATTCATTCAATTCATAATTTTAAGTCAGATGTGGTTCAAGTTAGAAGAATTTGTGTATTTAAGGTTTAAAGGGGTCTGAAAATGTACAAAATAAATGAATAGAAATTCAAGTTTAGCTAGAAATTAGCCAAATTCATATATTTGCATTAAATAACCCAGAAAAGTGGGGTGATTTGACTATTTTATTTTATTTTATTTTATTTAAATAATGATTTATAATGGGCATGAAATTAAGTTCTGGTCTGAAAAGAAAAATGTGCAATTTTAAGTTTATTTAGCTGAAACTTAAGAAGCTAAGTCACATATTTACATTAAACAAACCATAAAAGAAAAGTAGTTTTAACTACATTTTATTAAGTAATTTAGTAACAAGAAACTAAAGTTTTTGCAAATGCAGACGGTTTGATCATTTCAACTTTATTCAACTTAAAATGATTATTTTTAGATCTACTTCTAATCATTAGTTGTTTGATTTGAATTTTTTAATATTATTATTTTAATCAGCTCATTAAATGAGACCAAACTAGAACACCTGCAGACTTCTCTGGGTGTTTTTTTTTGGACAGTACAAACTCTTCCGAGACTCTCGTTTTGTATCCGGCTGAACCTGCTCACAGTGAAAACTTGCTGTGTGTGTTTAAAACATGATACATCCTGGTTGTCTCAGCAATAAAAACTGTGCCAAGTATGAGGAAGGCTAGTTGTTCATTCAGTCCCTGAACATTTTAAGACGCAGCAGCTGGAAGCAGCTCGTCTTTGGTTCCAACGCTCGCAGCTGATTGTTCTTTATGTCAAATGAAAAAAACTGATTCTTTAAATTGAGAAAATGTAAAAGCGACGCAGGTTCGTCTAACTGCTGTCAGAAAGGCTTCACAGTCGATTTAATTTAATATCTTTAACACATTTTAAAACTTGAAATGCTTATTCAACACAAGTTCCGTTAACTCATGATTTCAAGGCATGAGGGGAAGTTGTGTCTCTAATTTGATCAAACATAAAAAGATTTGCAGTTAATTTAATGTACTCCAGATGATTTTATTCATCTAGTTATGATGTAAAATACATTTTCTCCAATGAAGGCTGGTAGTTAAACTTCTCAGCTGGTTTCATATCAAAACTTTTCCAGAGGTAGAGGTCAAACTTTTCTATCAAAAATCTCCAAAGTAATATTTTGCACCCATCATTTTCTTTCCAAAGTTATCACCTCACAACCATGAAGATTTGTTTTGTGATGCTTTGGACGGATGAACTACAAACTCTACATAAAATAGTCTCCGGTCATGATCATTTTGCTCCAGATCCACATATAAAACTCACCGCATGGACATGTTAGCAAAGTAAAAAACTTGACTAGTAGCTCCACCTTCACTGCAAAAAGGTGTATTTGAGCTTCAGTTGAAGTAAAGAGCTGTTCTGAATCAATCTCACTTACTTTTGTGGATTTTATCAACTTGAAATTAGACGTTTTTTCTTTAAACTGGTGTCACAGTGTTGGTAAGAAGTGCAAAAATTAGGTTCACTTCTCCTTTAGAGTAAAGAAAAGGACAGAACAGCAAGTCTAATGATAAACTCAAGCTTCACATTTTGCATTTGAGTAAATAATTGGAGAAACTGGAGACTTTAGGTTCCTTAAAATGAAGCAGCAGCAATAAAAAAAAATGCTCATTTGAGAGGAATCTAATTATTTAAATACATTAAACTTAAATGAGGTGCATCAATATGACTTGTCAACTTAATTTTGAATTAACTTCAATAAGCAATTTATTTAAGCTGGTCTAACTATTCTCCTTTTTCAGTGTAGTACAATATTCTCTACATAATAATGCTGAAGTAAAAGAGCATATTTATGGTGTCAAATTGGCACTTAATCTCAGGTGAAACCACCACTGAATAAAATAATGACTCCACAAGAGTCCACAAGACCCTGAAACCCAACCGGCGCTGCTGCTGCTCCAACACCATCACCTGATCTTCAGTGTGGTGAACTCGTCCTGCTTTGAACGCATCACACAACTTTGTCTTGTGTTGAATTTCTTCCATCAATATTTCGATCAAATTCACAAACACCCTGAAAGCATCCTGATGCACGGAAATAACCTGAGAGTTCACAAAACTTGTTCTGATCTGGTTCATGAAAAAGGAGTCAGGTCTGATTTGAAGTCTCTGTTGGATGTACAATAGCAGCATTACCACATCGGTCAAATATTCCCCTGGGTTGCACTTCTCATGTCTCATTAACAGGCGTCATATAACCACGTCTACCTCAGGCGCTGGATAAGTCAGGAGGTGTTTTCATCGCATTAAAATGACGCAGCCCACCTGATGACAGAGATTTAAAACCCAACAACAGATCATTGAATCAGCGTGGAAGAAGCCCGTTCCTCTGATTTTTATCACCTTAAAAGCTCAGTCGTCCCACTCCAGCTACGAAGTCCTGCTCAGGCTTGTCCCAGCACCAGAACCTGCTGCTTGATTTAATGATAAAGTTGACTCACGCTGCACTTCTGATGTCATCGTGTAAAACTCTGCTCTTACTCAACCTCCATCCGGCTCCGAGTGTGTTTACGCAACTTCGAGAGAACTTCGTACTCACTTACTGCTAATATAAGTTACTGATGGTTTAAATAATCTCATCAGGCTTCAGCTGCTCACATGATGCTGCTGTGACTCATAGTAAAA